GATATATATATATATATATATATATATATATATATATATATATATATATATATATAGATATATTTTGTATGTTATATGCAAAAATTATATAAATTTTATACTCTTTTCCGGCTATCGAATATAAATAATTTCTGACGTGAGTTAAAAGTGATAATACCCTTTCCACTCTAGGCGGAAAAACAAAAAAAAAAAATAGACTTATTAGCTTCATGAAATTTTGTCGCCAAATAGTCGTTTCCAAAGAGTTTAAAGCTGGTTTACACTCTACACCGAAGTAAATCCAAAGAGGAGTACCATTTTTTATCCTTTCTAACACCGTTACGAGGTAAAGTAAAATCTAACTCCATTTAAAATTAGGAGATTGCGTGAAGAATTTTTCCTGTTTTTCTTTCAGTTCCAACTCCCAACAGATTAGTTTAACGCTTTATGACACATCTTTACCAACCACCCATGTTTGGATATTATGAAGAAACAACAAATGAATGAAAGAAAACAGAAAAATGCAAAATTGAAAAGATAGAAGTAAGACAGAAGAGGATATAGTGGAATTGAAAAAAGTAAACTGGAGTACTATGTATTTATTTCCACCTTCCTTCCACGTCACTTTGTTGGTTTTTTCTGTAATTGAGAAGACAAAGAAATGTCTTTGTAAGGTAAAATAATTCTTAAAAGATGCAAATTCTAGAAAAGCCTTGCTAGATACAAGTGATATGATGGAAAAAACATGGATTCTATTATCGACGTGGACCAGTAAGGTTGCGAGTGTATTTTTGGATTCAACTAAGATTTGTGTTGTATACAGAGTGTAAAAAAATTTATACTACTCTCCGTGGAATTAATAGATCGTAACAGATAATATAACCATCTTTCAGTTACTTACTCTACTTGTAAAATGTACAATTACTTATACTACTTTTTAAAATAAAGTTTATATAAAAAATAAATTAGAAAAACATACATATTGTCAAATATGTGGGGTAAAGTTGAAACAAGACAAAAGTCAAGTCAGAGGGTGGCATCAACCTAACCTGAGCATGCCAGAAAAGGAGAAACAAAACCTAAAACATAAACTACATAATGTACTTACCATATTAGATTACGGCATTAAAAGTAGGATGACAAGTAATATACCCAACACAACAAACTTGGGGTCATAAGTGGGACTGCGCCGAAGAAGCACCCCACCACTATTCTCTATTTTTCATTTTTTTCTTCCCCTTTGGAAATCAGAATTGAAAAAGACCAGCAAAACAAGCAAGTAAACCAGCAAAAATAAACAAGTCTGGTTCTTAAAGCTAGAGCTTTGGACTGTTGACCCCTTTAATGTCCTTTGTTCTGCACGAGTAACTTTGCTCAAACTTTCTGCTTTTCTATTACATACAGAGCGGCTGAGGCATTTTGAAGAGGTCTTTAGCCTGCTGAGTATACTGTGAATGAAGAATACTAGTTCAAGATTTTGAGGTTTCTGTACAAAGACCCTTTTGATTTTTGTTCGCTTCTTTACAAGTAGGAACTAATAATGGCTGAGGAAATTTGTTTCTTTACAAAGGTTTGTCTTTTTAGCTTTCCCTTCTTGTTCTCTACTTCTAATTCATGTGCCTATGTTAAGCAGAGATCCAGCTAAATATTTGTTCTTTGGTTGCATTTACATTCTTGTTTAAGCTGGAACCATACTCCACCCCCCCCCCCCCCCCAAAAAAAATGTTTTGTTGGGTTCAAACATATCTTGGGGTATATTCCTCTACCCAAAAATTTCACTATAATTATTTGTACAGTGGAATTTTTTTTTGCATTCTCTTCTATTTGTTCTTCCAATTTCTAATAAAAAGTTGTCAACTTTAGCAGATATTTTGAGCTTGCAATGCAATGTAAATATAAATTTTACTTTTTCATTACTTTCAGAGGATGAGTCTATTTTTGGCCTGTTTCGGTTGACATGTGTTTGATCTATCTTATCTTTACTCTTAATTTGTGCCGGTGCTAGTTGCTTTATGTCGAACAGTCGAAGTACCTGCTGCTTTTCCAATAACTGTTACGGATAGTTTTCTTTTCTTTTTATTTAAAAAAAAAAATCACATTTCCTTGCAATTTGGTTCTGTTTCCCTTTTGTTCCTTATGTAGCATGTACTTAAGCTTATTTTAATTAAACCTAAAAGAAACTAGTATCCTTCTGAGTCAAAATGATTAGTAACTTGGCATTTTTCTGACCCACGGATCATTTGCATTGACTACTGGCTTGTGTTTAAATGACAGGACAGTATCATCATAAAACCTCCCAAGAAATCTACAGCATTGCTAAGGATGGTTGTAGTAGTGTTCACACTGATTTTTGGTATTTATATATGTTCAATTTGTCTTAAACAAACTAGCACCGAGAAAACAAGTAAATACTTGAACATTGAAGTCATACAAAGGCCTCGCCATAACTATGACATTGATCTATCCCAAGTGCCATACGTGCATTATCCCAAGCCGAAAACATTTAGCCGGTATGTGCTAGAGAAATTTTGGATTGGTTCTTAAGTTCCCGTCTTACACGAATTTGCCTAAATTCATTTCATCTCTATTGTCAGGGCTGAATGTGTGTGTAATCCTGTACGGCTCTTTGCCATTCTCTCAATGCAGAGGTCTGGGAGTGGATGGTTCGAGACACTATTGAATAGTCATATAAATGTAAGCTCCAATGGTGAAATATTTTCTGTCAAAGATAGGAGAGAAAATGCTTCTTCAATCCTGAGGACATTGGAGACAGTTTACAATTTGGACTTTTTGACAAGTGCTTCCAAAAATCACTGCTCAGCTGCAGTGGGCTTCAAGTGGATGCTTAATCAGGTAATAACTTTTTGTTACCTTAAAAGGTTCTAGGCAGGGATCAATATTGTTGTATCCAAGGGTAGGCATGTATTGAACTTCTTAAGATTCACAGTGTTTGAACTTAGTTAACTGATCGCTAAAGTAAATCTTTTATTATTTGGCGCCTGATCGTCAGTTTGAAAGGGGAAAAGCTCTCTTGTACTTGATGTCTAGCATAGAAGGTTATGTACTTATCAGGAAAAATTAATTGTAAAAAGGGGGATAATTACTAGCGTTTGCGCCTGCTACGTTGGTGTATACCTTGCATTTCTCTTATTTCAAGCTGTTTTAAGCATTGGACAAAAGTACATTCATCTATTACAGCTTCTAGAATTAAGCTTGACAATTTCAGAATACTTCAAATACAAACACCAGGAGAGTATGCCTTCCCTCAAGCTTCACCAAACTGTTAAGACTAGCTGGTGATAAATGATGTGTACCTTTTTGTTAATTATTGATCTGAGATATGAAAAGGGCTATAAGCACATCTATCACTTAAAGTTGCAAATTAGCGATGGTTTATTTTCTTTTCTCCTTATCAAAAATAAAAATAAAAATAATTATATAGAACTGTTCTTATCAATCACAGAGGTATTGGTGTTTTTTTATTTAAATTATTATTTTCCTTGTAAACAAGAAGCATTATGTGCATAAAGCACAAGAATTCTGCAAGAAGGCTCTATTTCATGTAATGGTTATAAAGAATTTGATCTAAATGTATCTCTCTCTCTCTCTCTTGATGATTTGAAGAATCTTATAAATCTCGTCTTCCTACTAGTTGTTTTTGTTTTCACTTTTTAATTGAAGAAAATATCACTATTTACTTGAAGAAGCTTCTCTAGTTAATGAAGAGACAGTTAAGTCATCTTATATCGAAAGGATATGACTAAAGTTAAAATATATTTGTAGGAGATGATTCATCAATTTAGCATTTTGTATATGGAGAGAAGACGGTTGTAGGTGTTCATTTAATGTGACCTCTTAAGATCTGTATCTTTGTATTGATCTTTGTTTAAATGGATTCTTATCTCCATGGTTCTTAAAAAGAGGGTGCCATAGGATTCCGTTAGTTCTAATTGTATCAAAAGGTTTTCCATCGCCCAATCACAATTTGTACTGCTCGAAATAAGATATTCGACGAATATTATAGAAATATAATTTATGGTGGAGATCCATTTAGGATTAGGTTCTTTCTCTGCGGAACTTGTAACAGGTGCCTTTTTTGTTCAATTTGATCGTGCATCAAAGTCAGGTTTAAACAGTGCGTCTCAGATTGAACGAACCGTGTTCAATATGGGGTTTAGTAGTTCAGCTGGTGAGATTGTGAGTACTCAACTATGTGTGACACAAAAGAAAGAGTATGCATGGAAGAAATACTTCACTTTTCTGCGTGAGCAATTCCTTTACATTTCGAAAAGAAGTACATTTGGATGTTCCTTTAGGTTGCCATATTTTTCTCTGAAAGAATATAACAATATGAGGCAAGCTGTGGGAGTTCTCAAATTTGTTGAAGACGTCATCTTGTTCTTCCAATGTTAATAATATCTGTTGAAGCTTTAAACAATTTGAACCTGAAGTTCGTGGTACATTCACAAGGTAGGTTATATGAATCTGAATCTTCATAATAAAGTTAGGAAATTAGGCTTTTGGTAGCTAATAGCTAATAGGAGATCTTTGTTAAAGAGCAGATTGTCTTGCCTGCTGGATCAATTTGTGAGATTTTTAGTTTTTATTCCTTGTACTGTTTCTTACTTCATGTAAAGATACACTTTAGTTTACCATGTATGGATAAGGATATTATTTGTGATAAAACAAACAAATGCTCTTTTATGTCACATCTTCAGCACATAAAAAGCAAGATGTGTGGATAATGCTTCATTGGCCTGCTAGAATTTTCTGATTTATATATGGCCATTGCAGGGGCTGATACAACACCATAAGGAAATTGTTGAGTATTTCAATGAAAAAGGCGTTTCTGTGATATTTCTCTTTAGAAGGAATCTGCTGCGACGCATGGTTTCAGTGCTTTCAAACTCGTATGATCGGTATGCCAAACTCTTGAATGGAACACACAAGTCTCATGTGCATTCACCTGAAGAGGTATCTTCTCGAACCCATCCCTCTTTATCAGTGCAGGCACATGGACATAATATCCAATCTAATCACTTTGCTGATTTACCTAGGCTGGTACTCTTGCAAAGTATAAACCAGAAATCAATACAACATTGTTGATCACGGATTTAAAGAAAATGGAGGTAGCAGCCAGTGAGGCACTGGAATACTTCAATAGCACTCGGCATATGATTCTGTATTATGAAGATATTGTCAGAAATCGAGCTGTAAGAACCTTCTTTAAAATTCTTGAACTTGTAATTACTTTTGTCCTGCAATACTTCCTGGGAGTTTCACTAAATACATACTCAAATTGCAAATTTAGTCGAGCTTCTTTAACTTTCCCTTTCCAAAAAAAGTAAAGGCGTTTTTGTTTGATTTTTGTATCACCAACTTCCATAGCTTGCTATGCTGGAGAAACCAATAAAATTTTCCATCGTCTAACACAGTAATATTTTGCAATCTTGTTTCATCTATGTAGCTCATATTTCCTGCTTTTATTACAGAAATTGGTAGACGTTCTCGAGTTTCTAAGATTGCCTGAGATGGATTTAAGTAGCCGTCAAGTTAAGATACATAACGGGCCATTGAGGGAACATATCAAGAATTGGGATGATGTGAACAAGACCTTGAGTGGAACAGCCTACGAGAGATTCCTCCAAGCTGACTATTAATTTGTCACTTTCAGTCCCTAGGGCTTTGGTTCAGTGGTAAGAGATTAGCACCTGATGTGTGGATTAGGCACACGTCACGAGTTGGATTGTGCTGCGATATTTACATGGAGAAGAGTAGAGTGGCTTCATAACTAACTGTCCGTCTTGCTAGTCCTGGGAGATTTCTCCATCATCTAATAAAAAAGAAAAAAATTCTCACTATCATTGATCGATGAAGGAGGTGCAGATATCAACTGTTTTTCTTGCAAAAGCTGACTGGTATACTCTCAACTTGGAAAAGCTTCCTGTTGCATTCGACTCTGTAAATCAGTCGAAACTCGGCATAGTACCAAGTTTTACTCTCTCATGTATCTGTAGGTTTTATTCCACACTGAAGTGTATAGTGAAGTAGAGTTGGGCAGTGGCCAAAGGCGATCTGCAGGAAATATTTTCTCTCCTTTGTTCCTTTAGTGTTGCCTTTATCTGTAATTTAATAAAGAAACAACTAGAAATGTGAAAGTAGATGCATTGTAATTCTACTTAAACTTCTAATGATTCTGGCTGGTCCTACTCCTACTACAAAGGTCCAGCATTTTTTTGTAACGCTTTTGTGTTTGATAAATCTTCATTTCTTTCATGTGCCTCCTGGTTTCTGCATAGCTGGACGGAACTACACTTTGCGTTGTTTTCAGATGTCAAGAAAGATTTTAACTTATTTATTAAGTTTCTAAGACGAAGATGTCATTTTCCATCAAATTCAGATAAAACTTTTGGAAGGCTTGATTGATCTGAAAGACAGTTTTCAAAATTTTCCAACTGTGAAACTCCTAGGTTTTGCTGTTAACCCTTTTAACAAACGCCGGATTGTGAAACTCCTGGATGTTGCTATTAACGATTTTAACAGCTGGAAGCAAAGAGGGCTAGTTTTTACAGCTGGTCAGAATAATATATCATTTACGTGCAATCATGGAAAAGCTAACTAAGGATTTGCAAATCAAATATATACGTACTATTTTTACAAAAAAAAAAAAAAAAAAAAAAAAAAAAAAAAAGCAAAAGAAGCACTAAACTACTTTTATACTTTGTAAAATAAAAAATATATACTACTATTATTTTACAAAACACATATCAATGATGTGGCTAAGCAGGGATACAAAACAGTACAAAATAATTTGATACTAATTCTAAAAAAACTGGTCGTTTTCCTACCTCACAAAGGTTGGGCAATGTTCAAAACTAGGAAGAGATTCAATTTTTTCATTAAGGGAATCTTATGTAAATGTCCCAAATAAGTTCCAACTTACCAACTTCTAGCCATTAATCATAAATTTATCAAATTTAATCAAGCACATATAAAAATTGAAAACCCAAATAACTACCGTTCTTTCTCTCCAAGAATTACATGTAAAGATCTCCTACCATATTTTTAAGCGTGATCAGCAACATTAGATGCAAGACAGAAAGATAATTTCATAGATAAGGTAGCAAACAAGGTGATGAAATACAAAAAATATATATACAAGATTCTAAAATCTAAGCAAAAAATAACTATTTCAATAGGTATGGTTGAAGTTCATTGAAAACATATAGATGAGTCAATATAAAAATTTTGAAGAAGATCGGAGGTGATTTGGATTGATTTGGTATCAAATTTCGTAGTTAAAATCGAGTCAATTTCTTTTTTCTGCGACACGTGTATCAAACATGTATCACGCATGCATCACACATACATGTATATATATATATATATATATATATATATAATCCAGTAGAATCTCACTAGTAAGTTTTGGGAGATTAGAGTGTACGCAGACCTTACCCCTACCCCAGAGGGATAGAGAGGCTGTTCCGGGAGACTCTCGGCTCAGAGACAATAGATCCGTAACAACAACAGAAACCAGAAAAATAGTATCAGCATCGTAAAAGACAGGAAATAACTAGAAAGGCCAAAATGTGAAAGGCAGCAAAAATGTGAAACTCAACAAAAATCGCTAGCAGTCCTAGACAAAATACTATCAGACTAGCCGGCACAGCGAGGAGAAACGCTCGACTACCACCTAACCTACAACCTTAATGCTCGACCTCCACGCCTTCCTATCAAGGGCCATGTCCTCGAAAATTTGAAGTCGCGCCATATCCTGCATGGTCACCTCGCCCCAGTACTTCATAGGTCGCCCTCTACCTCTTCTCGTACCTGCCAGAGCCAACCGCTCACACCTCCTAACCGGAGCATCCATGATGCTCCTCCGCACGTGCCCGAACCATCTAAGTCTCGCTTCCCGCATCTTGTTATCCAAGGGGGCCACACCCACCCTCTCCCGAATCTCCTCATTCCTACTCTTTTCCATCATAGTGTGCCCGCACATCTATCTCAACATCCTTATTTCTGTTGCTTTCATCTTCTGTATATGTGAAATCTTGACTGGCCAACAATCAACCCCATACAACATGGACAGTCTAACCACCACTCTACGGAACTTAAATTTAAGTTTCGGTGGCACATTCTTGTCACACAGGACTCCAGACGCTAACCTCTTTCTCATCCCCCCGCCCTGATACGGTGTGTGACATTCCCGTCGATCTCCCCATCTCCCTAGATAATAGACCCTAGGTACTTGAAACTCTCTCTCTCTTAGGGATGATTGTGAGTCAAGCCACACTTCTACGTCCTCTTCCCCCGACATATCGTTGAACTTATACTCGAAGTATTCCGTCTTGGTCCTACTCAGCTTGAAACCTTTTTTTCCTCTCTTAACCATGATTATTATTACATATTTTCACCTAAACTACTTCTTTGGGTTGATTTAATTGTGTCATAACTCTTTCTATCATGTATTATTGAAGTTTCAATCCTATTAAAGGTCCTTCCTTGTTTAACTTTTTTTTTTCCCTTATTCACGAGCCATAATGGTATTTTCGAAAAAGATGAAAAAAGGAAATATAAGCAAAAGGAAATACGAAAGGAAAAGAAGAAATAACTTTCTTTGATTGACCACCAGACCGCATCGCACTAAAAATGAATAAAAGTTAAGAAAAGACCAACATTTCGTCGAGTTTCTTGCTTCTAGTTTTCATCTGATTCTCTCATTTTAAAATTACTAGTATTAGTACCCGCGCGATGCGCGGATTGTTAAAAAAATATATTAGCATGATAATATTGCTCTTAATTATTTGCTCATTTGAATTATATATATATATATATATATATATATATATATATATATATATACACACACAAATAATACACAGTACACATATCATTTTTTTCATGTTTCATCTTCTACTTTGAATTTTCAATTCAAACCACCTCAAAACTCCGCCAAATCATCCCAAAACTGAGATTCAAACTCCTTAAGATACCCAATCTATTCTAATAATACATACTCAAAAGAAAGCAAATAATTGACCTTTTTTTTGCTACAAATAACTAATTGACTAATATTGGTAACTTTGAATGTTAATATTTAATAAAATTGTCAATTTTTGTAATAAGCTACTTAACTTATAAATGGACATAGCTGGTAGTTTCATCAAATGGACCATCAACTATGTGAACGGAAAAGAACGAACGACGAGAAAATCAGTGCGACTGGCGGTGGAGGAGGTTGGCGTACAGTTTTTCAGTTTGATTCTGGACCAAGGTTGTATGTAGCCCAACCAGTTTATCTCTCTTGGCCCAATAAAGATTTCTAGTTGATCCCCTAATGTATGCAACAATATTCATCTTGACTGATTGAACTTTGCACAATTTACTACCACCAAAATCTTCAAGCTCAAACGAACTCTTTCACCTAAATCGATGTTGGCAACTAGCAAATAGAGCTAAATTGTAATATACAATAGGTAGGCCGCAAAGTAGAGAGAATATTATCAGATTCTCCAGTTGGAAAGTGAGCATGCTTGACTGAAAATATAAAGTACTAACAAAAGAGGGAAACCAGTGGAACATATATGAATAATAATCTATACTCCACTATATTAGAACAACATTTTGATATACCGTGACGGGTGGGCTTTCAGAAGTCTAAATAGCCCACTAACGTATGTCCTTTAATATAATATATAACATGAAGTTTTTCGACTTTCTCCAAATGTTGTGAAATTGAATCTTCTGCAAAAAAGTTATCTTAGCAAAGAGGGCAGCAAAGAAGGGATATAAAATTTTGCATGGATGGCTAATTGGCTTAAAAAACAGAGAAAAAGACCGTCATTCAGAGGCAGATGCAATATAAGTTTAATGGGTTCAATTGAACTCAGGTGTGTGTTTATGTACACAATTTATATACTCCATATGATAATTATTTCAACAAATATTAAATTATGAACCCATAATATCAAAACAGTCATGGATTCAGTGGTAGGAACAAATCTGCCACTGCTGTCATTATGACTTCTACCACACATTCCATACATATTTTGCAAACAAAATGAAAAAAGTTACTCCAACACATCTCTGTCCTCATGCATGTGAGAATCTCCAACTAGTAAGGACCCAATAGCCCTCATGTTGCTTGCTTTCCATCTATAAATAGCTGCAGTTCAAGCATACAAATAGCATCAATTGCATTATCACTCTCTTCATGGCTCAAATCAATAAATTGATCCTTGCTAACCTTTTCCTCTCCATGATCTTATTCTCTTACATTATTCAATCTATTGAGGGAAGCTAAGATACTTGAAGTTTGAGAATGCAAATGATCCCTCTAAACCCTATGTTCACACAGTAGCATTAACCAAAAGAGAAACTGAAAAGATGAAACAGTACAACGGAAACATGCAAGTCTATGCAACAGAGAAGGCACTAATTGACAATATGGGCACACTTGCAACCCCACTAGCACTAACACCGCCAAGTCCGGTTCAGATAGTGTCTCAGCCCCCTCCCCCTGGTCATGCCGATGGCTTCACTCCTTCGGGACCTGGTCATAGCCCTGGGATTGGTCATTCTCTTAAAGGGAACTAAGGGCTGTAGCTACGTGCATCAATTGTTATGCTACATATATATAGGTTTTCATGTCTATGTATAAATGTAATTCATTTTATATCATGACCAAATCTAGGCATTCGAATATTATTAGCAGATTACCTATTTAAGTCTCATAACAGAAAAATGTTCAGAGGACTATGTTTATAATTTTCTGCATGAAGTACACAAACATACGTTTTAACTTTCTCAGCTGTGCTCATATGACGTATCACAGTTCAAAACTTGCATTAATAAACAGTCACTTGACGTTAAACTTGACCAAGATACTGGCAAGTTCTTCAAGGAAAAACAGGCTTTCTGTTTTCGGAATTAGGATTTTATTATCATTAACGGCATTTTAATACGATTGCATGAAGGTACGATTAGTTACATCACATTATATCAACTCCTAGTGAAATTCTTTACCTCGTAAAGTTAAGTCGTCCACCATTCTTCTTAATTAAGTTGGTCCAAATCAAGTTATACACTAACAATATTCAAAATGAAATCTTGGTCTTAATTCATAATCTTCAAAAATTCATGTTAATAACAAGTGGTCTTAGTTACAATATGATGCCTTTGCAGTGACAAATTCTGTAACCTACTATGAGCGAAGAGAACAGTGAAATTGCATGAAGTGCATAGAACTATATTAAATTGGTGATCGAAAATGTCTA